GACATAGCTATAGCACCTATTAATATGTTTCAACCGGTTTGGACTTTGAGTCCCTCACACAAAATATGCATTCGACAATAATGACATTTCGTACCAGATATCTTATAGAGCTCGGTACGAAATATATTCCGATTTCAGGTTTATTGTGCAAATAATGGCTTATCAGCCCAAATGGAGTGAATTTCGGGACACAGGTTTACATTTGGTGGAACTTGCCTCCTATATATATTTCTTTTTAATATAATTCTTCTCAAAGTGCATCAAAAGATATATTCCCTCTCCAGGGTATAAAAAGCAGTTTATTTATATTACATGTCTAGTATTTAATAAAACCTTTATTCAGTAATAAGTCTTTTCGATTCAAGTGTTCGTTACGCAGTGTATTTCTCAATTGTGAAAAACTCGGCATTTGCCCGACCACACTGCACTGCATAGCATTTGATTTCAAATTATTTATTTTTGTAATACAATTAAAATTGATTTTAATTGAACTATTGATGAGGCTGAAAATATAATACAAAACACCAACAACGACAACAACACCAACATTAACACCCGCAACAATAACAAGGCCAGCATTTATGATTGCAACGCTAATTTATGCAATTATTGTAGGGAAATGCAACATTTTTTTCTGTTTCGTTTCATTTTTGCAATTGTTTGCTTCCTTCCATTCTACCATCACTGCGTCGATGAAGATGGAAGGAATGCTGGCCTACCAGTCAACCCAGCCCAGCCTGGCTGACAGACCAGCCAGTCATCACCATTGCCGGCCAGTCATTATTTTTATTCATATTTATTTCGCATTGATTTACATCGATTGCCCGTCTCTCTCTCCCCCTCTGGGCCAAGGCATGATGAGATTGCTGCATTCGAAAAATAATTTACTTTACAATTCAATTATAATAATAAATTTAATATATTAAGCGTAGAGTTGTAAAAACTATTGATTGTTTTTAATTTATTTGATTTGCTAATGTAATGTGGCACAACAATGCCAACAACAACAACAATGGTAACAAAAACAATAATAATTGGAAATGGCAGCAGTGGCAATAAACTAGATTATCATTGTTCATGTGTGGTTGTTGGTCTGTCAGCAACAGCAGCAGCAGCAGCAGAAAAGGGTCCTTGCCATAGGCAACAAATGATAGACTTAATGATGACTTTATTGAATTCAATTTCAATTTTGAATATAAAAATACAAATCAGGGCAATATTGTAAAATATTTATTGCAGAATTAAAATCGAAATTTGTAAATTATGGTATTGTTTTAAATTAGTCGAATTTGTGAATTATTTTTGAATGGTTGGCAATGGGTGGGGAAGTTTTTGAAACAGAAAGGGGCAGCAAAATGTGGAGCTCAACGGAAAATAGCATTAACAAATAATATATTTATGAAATTCCATTTGTCATAAGTAACTACCTTAAATCAGCCTACTTATCATTTGTTTTTATATGAAAATGACGTAGGAGGCAAGTAATCACCAAAAAATTCAGAAAAATGCCAAGGAATTTTTGGAATGTTATAGTTGAATACGGATTGAATTTCATAATAATCCAAGGAGGGATTGAAGTTGATTAGTAGCTTGGCTCACCACAATAACGCGCTTATAAAATATAAACAATTTAAAAATTATAAGTCGGTTGTGGCTACAAAAATATATCCTCGGCTTTTGTCTGATAATAAAATATATTTTGTCTCTATTACTCAAAATGTTTAAACTTTATTGAGATGGTACCAAAGGAGTGGACCAATATTTTTCATTTTGTACATGACCTTAGCCTGATATAATTATTGTCTAATATAATTATCATTTGAGATAGTTGTGCATATTTATTGGAAATGTGAAATAATTACTTATTTCGAGTTTTGTGGAATTAATTGGTAATCAACAATTTTTATATTTTGTGAGGAAGGTACCCAAAGGAGTGGACAGGCATATTCCATATTAACATTACATACATGGTGAGATAAAAAAAATGCAACAATGTCAAATACCATAATTTTTAAATTTTTTTTTTAATGTTATTGAATGAAAGCAAAAAATGTCGGAAATAGCATCCAATTTTAGATCTGTTCGAATTGGTCATCTTTGGCACGAATAATGACCTTTAAACGGTCAATGAAACCGTCACCACCGTCGCCTGAATGTTGCTCTGCGGTACTTTGGCCCATCTCCGGCGAAGCGCTTGCTTGAGGCGATCGACACTTTGGTATTTTTTAGTGCCAACCTTGCTTTTCAAAATACTGCAGACACAATAGTCCAACGATTGATATCCGGAGATTTTGGTGGCCATTGAACGATGGAAATTAAGCGAGGAACCTCATTTTGTAACCATTCTTGGGTGGCGTGTGCTGAGTGCGATGGTGCTGAGTCCACGGTCTACGGAGAGCGACTATCGGCTGTTATGGCGGCCCACACCATCACCATGGCCGGCGCTTGAGTTCTGGTGGCCAATGGAAGGTGTACATTTTCAGCTGACCTCTTTGACAAGTAAACACGATCATCATTCATTTTGTTTGTTTACAATTTGCTGGACAACGAATGTTTACTCATCGGAGAAAGAAGCAACTCTTTAGCTCTTTTGAGTCTATTCTCTTTCTGTTGCGGTGTAAGTTCTTGCACTTTTTGGAACTTCAATGGCTTTACGCCTAGTTCATTTTTCAATAATAAAATTATTTTCTGTGAAAATGTTGGCCTTTTGTGAGGAAGGTGTCAGAATCTTCGAACTCGATCTAAGTTTGACAGTAATATTACGATGTACCAAGTTTGGATCAAATCGGATACTCCTTTCGAAAGTGTTCGTGCGCACCAACCAGCCAGACAGACAGATGGATGGAGGGGTATCCCTAGATCGACGCCAAATGCCTTAAAACAGATTGGGCCGTATCAACTGATGTATACTCTCCCTAGCCATATGGTTGAGGGTATAAAAAACAGTAAGTTTGGCCTAAGCAGAATTTGCAGATTTTCAAAAAAATCCGTTAAAAATACTCTTAAAATATTAAAAATACCGAGTAAAGGGATTTACTGTTATATTGGCGCCTATACCCAGACTTGGACCTACATATGCTATTTTTGTCATATGAAAATTGCGAATACAACACTCAAATCAATTCCGATGAATAACGTCTCTAAAATCATCAAAATACCGAATATAGGGAGATAGTGTTATATGGAACCTATGCGGAGACGTGGACCTGTGTAGACAATTTTTGGTCACAGACTATAGCACTCATTACGAACTTACAATATGAAATTTCAAACATTTCCGATGGATAATTTCGCTAAAATCATCAAAATACCAAATATAAGGAAGTACAGTTATATTGGGACTATACGAAGACGTAGACCTGTATGACCAATTTTCTGACATAAAATGTAATATCCATTAGCAGCTTCAAATTCCAAATTTGAAACGTTTTCGGTAAAAAATGTGACATAAATCATCAAAATACCGAATATCTGGAGGTGTATGTATTTATATGGGGAGACCCCCCCCCCTAAAGTGTCAACATTTTCACAATAAAATTATTTACTGTACAGAACACAAAAGGGTCATCCAACTTTGTGTAAACTATGCAAATACCAATATTTGTATCAGTACTATGACAGGTGCGAAAAAGAAAAATATCGGACCACTCCATCACGTACTTCCCCTACAAAGTGACAAAATTAAGAAAAATTATAACTCTAATAACAGGTGAGTCCGATGTGACATAAAAGTCCGATTGTCTTAAAATTTCGCACATCACATTATTTTTATTAACCAAAAAACTGATATGCAGATGGCAAATATTGGTCCACTTCTTCTGGTATCTCCCTCACAAAGGGCCAAGATTTTTAATATTCCTGATACTCATAAAACTAACACATTAACATCCGATTCCATTCAAACTATTAACCCAAGGTCTGTTATTAACATTTCTTCTTCTACCTATCCAAGATAGGGTTCAAAATTTTTCCTAAGACAAAATCTGTTGTAAAGGTGATATATATCTGCGAAACCCTTCTGTTACCTCACCCACAAATTGTCCACACCATTATTTTATCTGTATTATATAAAGTTTGAAAATGGAATACTTCGGTCCACTTTATCTGGTACCTCACGCACATTTCTACTTTTACTAAAAATTATCTCATCTCTCATATAAAGTGAAGGAAGTAGTCGATATATTCCAATTCTAGCATGTCGCAATATTTATATCTGAACCTATTCCATAGAGGGTCACCAATTTGAATAATCAAAACAGAAGTCAAAATATATTTAAATAATCGAATATTGACTAAGGGTATATATCTGTCGGCAATACCAACTGATTCTTGTTAACTTGTTGTAGAACATTTCAATTTAAAAATGTAAAAAATAAAAAGGAATTGAGTTATAAGGAATAAATATTCTACAAAAGTACTCCTCATCCGATATGACTATGAACAAATTGTGTCAAAAATGGGTTATAAAAACAAGAAAAAACACTATTTCCCCGTTGTCGGCTGACAGTTGAAAAAATCGTTGCGGCATAACGGGGTAACTTGATCCGAAAATAGTCTTTCTATATTTAATATACTCAAGGAGGTCTATAATTTCGAAAAGTAATTATCCTTTATTTGTCCCCTAAAAATTCTTGTTGCAAAGCGTTATAAGGTAATTTCATATAAAATAAAATATGTCTTTGGTAAGACCAAATTCTACTAAGAATATATTTATTTAATAAATTAGTAAAGACGACAAATAGATTGTTTTGTTGAAAAAAATTTCGGAACATTGGAAGGGTTCATTTTGTTCCATGCAGCCATTCAAAATGGAGTTTATTAAACCAAATGATTTCTTACACAGAAAATGTAGTCCCTGAATTTATCTCACACCAAAAAACATATTCTTATATTTTATTGACGGAAAATTCGTTTCAAAGCATGTCGTTCGGTGATTTTAAATTTATATTTTTAGTTACATTTTTACCTTAATGCTGTATTGAGTTTTCTCAACTACTTACGTTTTCTGATGTTGAATATTCCTTTTGTATTAAACCTTTGAATAGTAATCTGTAAAGAGAGAAAAGCAGTTAATAAGGAAAAAATTAAATATTTAAATTATCAAATCACTAAATTTTAAAGGAACTAATTAATATAACAACGCTGCAATCAAGCCTAACTGTTTTGAAACTTCAAATCCTAGCCCATTATAAATATTTAGACCCCACAAAGTATATATATTAATGATCAGCATAAAATTCTATGTCTATATAGCGATGCCCGTCCGCCTGTGGAAATCACTTTAGCTTCCGAACGAATTGAAGTAGATTGATAAAATTCTACTCTAATGTATATTATGTCTGCAGGACTTTTGGTATTGAAAATGGGCCATGTATTCTGTATTTCAAAGATTTTTGTGACAATATTCATCGGAATTGTTTCAAATTTGGTATTTTAAGTTCAAAATGGATGCTACAGCCAAAGACAGAAAATCGTCTGTGCAAGTCCACGTTTTCGTATAGCCCCCATATAACGGTTCCCCCCGATATTCGGTAATTTGATGTTTTTAGCGATATTATTCACCGGAATTGTTTCAAATTTTGTATTTGATGTTGGTAGTGGATACTACAGTCTATGACAGAAAATTGTCTGCGCAGCTCTACGTCTTTGTATAGCCCCCATATAACTGTACCTCCCGATATTCTGTACTTTGTTGATTTTAGCGACATTATTCGCAGGAATTCTAACAAATTTGGTATTAGAAGTTCGTAATAGATGCTTCAGCCTAAGACAAAAAATTGTCTGGACAGGTTCACGTCTTCGTATAGCCCCCATATAACGATACCTCACGATATTCGGTATTTTGATGATTTTAGCTACATTATTCACCGATTTTTTTTAAGGTTCGCATTTGAATATTGTAATGGCTTATGACAAAAGTTATCTATGCAGGCCCATGTCTTCGTGTAGACCCTAATATAACAGCAGAATCGCCAAATTCGTTCCAAATGGTGGAGGGTATTGAAAGTTCGGCCCGGCCGAACTTACAGCTTTCTTACTTGTATCTTCTCAGCTGTAGAAAGCGATTCTTGCAATACATAACATTGAGCACATTTACATTTGCTTCACATATATCTACACAAAAAAAAACATCCATTGTCCGATTTACAAATTAGATTAATTTGCATTTTAAATTGTCAAAAGCATTTAAATCACGTCCACCCAATATAGCCTTCGTCATTTCTTTGCAACAAACAAAAGAAAATATAAAAAGGCAAATGCAAATGAATGTTAATAGTTCTCAGCTATGTGCTGTTGTTGTTGTTGTTATTGTCATTGTAATTTATAAAAGAATAAATAGAAAATTTATTACACAAAATTATTGCCATTGAAATATGAAATATTTGTTCATTTGATTTATTTCGGGATTTTTTGCTGGTATCCGAAATTAAACACAAATTGTCAATTTCATTAATCCATTTAAATAAATCAAGGAGATTTAATTAAAAATTGCTAAAGTAAAGTAGTTTAAGTGACATATGTTGTTTAGATTGAAATTATGCATTAATTAAATGTTAGAGTCGGAAGGAATTAGAATTTGAATATCAGCAAAATCAGAAGTTTTTTCAATGCAATTACTTGCTTTCAAGGCAATATTTTACGCAATTTTTTCAATGATTTTATGAAATTATCGATTTTTTAAATCAGTTTTTAAGGACAGTTAGAAGCCATTTAAGAGGACAAAGTTAAGGATATTTCTAGGCAAACCAATAGAGAAAGTTTTATTTTATATTTCCTATTTTAACGACGGATGCCATACCCTGATCATGAATATGCTTTATGGGGTCGCCGAGGAATATTTTGAAGTGTTGGAAACGAAATAATAAATCTAATAGACTATCCACGTTATGATGGAAGGTATAAAATATTATATATATATATATATATATATATATATATATATATATATATATATATATATATATATATATATATATATATATATGTTTAATTTAGAATTGCATAAAATATTGCTATTTATTGACCCCTGGTTTGGTCATTAATTAGTCGTTAAAATGTACGCGCTACGGTTTATTGCAACCTTGTGCTAGCGCCTTTGACATTTTAACTACTAATTATTTGTCACTTGTTTTGCCGCCTCCTTTAGACATCAAGGAGTATTTCGCTGTCTTTCGGACAGACAACACCCGCAATATCGTTTGCAAGCACATATCGTTGTGCATAGAGAGGCATATTGTTGCCAAAGGTAATATCGTTACCTCTTACCAAACTAAGAATAAATAGATCTATATTATATTAAGGAAAACCTCTGTTGTTTTATTTCTTTTTATATTTCCCCCCTACGGTCCACTGCTCGACGCATTCGGCGTTTTACTCCCATCGGCGGAGCCCCTCTGAGCTAAACATTGGTCCAATCGAACCGGATATTATTGCCCTCTTGAACGCATTTGGAATCCAAAATTTACAGTCCATTAATCCTGCATTGCAAGGTACGTATAGTGCAGTGTTTTAAAGTGAGCTCGCGTTAGTAAATTGCCGCGACAATAACAAAACATTCGGTTTTGTTCAGGTCCAAAGGTAGTTTTACAACGTCACATCTTTCTTTTGTTTTGTTTCCCGCCAATCGTTGGCTTCTATTTTGGATTCTTGCATTCGGCAGCATCATAATCAAAACAAAAATCAAAAATAATAAATTAATAAAGCAAAACTCAAAAATAAAATTGTTGCTTTGTTGTTTGGTTCATGTAAAACAACAAAACATTAAATATTTCGTTGATACCAACAATATTATCGTCGTTGCTAGTTCTTAGTTTGGCGTGCTTTACTACATAAAGCAAAGATTGCAATATAATTCTTTTGGTTTGGTCTGTCCGTTTTAATATTGCATATTGTTGTTGTTACATTTATTCTCTTTTTCTCATTGCAACAACAGTCAAATTCATTTTCTGTTTTGTTTGTCGCAAAACAACAACAACACTGTTTGAACCACCACCGCTGCTTGCTTGCTTTGTCGTCGTTCTCTGATCAGCACTTGTTGTTTGTGCTTTGTTAGATCAGTGAACGAACATAACAAACGAAGGAAGAACATTTTTGTTGATTCCTCTTTCTGTCGTGTCCGTTTAAGTTGAGTAGCTACACTACGTGGGTCGGTCACTTTTGTTAGTTACATTGTTTGTTATAGGACATTGGAAAGTTAAAACTAAAATAAAATAATATAGTTAATTTTATTTTTTGTTGTTGTTTTGGAAACTTTAAAATTAATACAACCTATAGACGGTAATTCTGGCAAATTAAACAAATAAAAATAAAATAGTTATTTTATTTATTTTTGCATTTTCCCCCAAAATTGTTCGGTATTTCTTCATTTAATTATGGCCTTCGCTCCTCTACAAACCTTCTTTAGAGCATTGGACGCTCTGACAGAATTTAGTGCACAAATCGGTGCAATAGAAGATACTAATTTAGATATTAGTTTTTTAGAGGAAAGGAAGAGCAAGTTAGAAAAATTATGGCAAGCGGTAAATAAATCGTTGCGCCGCTTAGAAAATTCGGAAAATGTAACCAAAGAATATCTCCATTTGGCAGAAAGTAAATATAACGTTTCTATTAACATTTACTCTAGTATGATGGCAACAATTAATAGAAAAATTATAAAATATAGTTGCCTAACAAGAAATTCAAATAAAATTGAGGATAAAAATCAAGAGCAATCGGCTCAATCTCTTTTGGTTCCTGAATCGCAGGAAAATATTGCCGCAAGTATTTCTTCTGGTTGTGATATCGTTCACAATATGACACTGCCCCCTATTGATATTGATATTTTTGAGGGAGATTTTTCTTCTTGGCCTTCCTTTCGGGATTTGTTTAGTGCAATTTTTATAAATAACTCTCGCTTGAGTGATGTGCAGCGCTTGTATTACTTGCTGCAAAAGACTACTGGTGATGCAAGGGAAATAGTTTCCCAATTTCCTTTAACAAATCGTGGTTTCGCTTTCGCTTGGAAAGCATTAAATGATGAGTATGACAATACTCGTATGTTGGTACATCGTCAGTTGTCTTCGTTATTTAGTCTTCCAATTCTAGATAAGGAAACAATCTTTGGTTTGAAAGAGATTAGAGTTGGAATTAATCGTTGTATCTCCTCCATGTCGACTTATAACGTTCCCACGGATCAATGGGATCCGATACTTGTCTTTCTTTGCCTGCAACGCTTACCGGAAGAAACGACACTGCTGTGGGAACAAGGTATCAAAAACAAATCGGCTCTTTCTTCGTGGAAAGATTTAGACACATTTCTTTCAGAGCGGATAAACACGCTTGTGTGTTTGGAAAATTATAGAGAGAAATCCATTCCTTTGCAGGATTCAAATTCGCTTGACACCGCTAGAAAGTGCAAATCTAAATGTTCGTCTCCCCCTTCTATTGGAAAATCGTGTCGTCTTTGTCATAAGTATACCCATCGCCTTCATTTGTGTCCAACATTTAAGGAATTATCTCCCGCAAAAAGGTTTGCATTCGTCAAGCGCCACGAACATTGTATAAATTGTTTGGTAAAGGGACATAAACTAGTAAATTGTACTAGTAAAAATAGTTGTTGGAAATGTGGTCAACGTCATCACACGTTACTACATCGCGAGTCATTAAAACCGAATAGTTCTTTTCCGGTTCTGACTCCAAAAGCTCAGGCAAGCTCGTCAAAATCGTTGTTGTCAGCTGCAGCCCCAGTTTTTCGTCCCTCAAAATATACATCCTCCACATCGGTTGGAGTCGAAAATCCTAAATCTAATTTTGTTCGTTCGAAATCGTTGTACAAAATGTCCAAAAGGAACCTTATTAAGTTTATAAAAGTGAATTTATCGGAAGGTAATCAGTCAACAAAACGTAAATTTGTAAGCAATGTTGTAAAGCGACCTTCACATAAAATCGGTCTCGCGACAACTGGCAATGTATATACCGACATTGGCACAGGGTCTCAATTGGAACCCCCCTCGAATATCGTTTCGGGAAACACGTAGCTCGATTGAAGTCCGAATCTGTAACTGCAGGTT